CACACACACACACACACACACACATACATACTTACACATACTCACACATACACATACTCTCTAACACACACACATACATGCACATACACACACATACACAATCACACAAGAACAAAAACGCATACTCATAGTTGAACACACAATCACGAATAAAAACACACAAATGAGCACACACTTGAGGCTCTCTTCGACCATACACTAAAGGTATCAAGGGTGTTCCCTGGAGTAACTATAATGACTCACAACACTTTGTGACATACGACACTCTAGAGATTTCTATGATGACACACTAGAAGTATCAATGACCACACACCATAGATACCTATGACGACACACTACATATATTAACGACTAAACACTAGAGATGTCTAGGGTGTTACCTAGTTGTTTTTAAACACCTCCACGCTCTCGGCAAACGCAGTCCTCTTCCTGCCTTCATTGGCAACTTTTTACACAACATTTCTTTCCGGATTCTTGTCAAATCTTCTTTTTCCAAGCCTCAACAGCAGGTGGAAGGTGTTACCCAGGAGAGCAACTTTTCTCCTCTCTTCTTTAAAATTGAAATAAACTCCATCATTAACTCCCTCCAAAACAATATATACAGCTCGTTATACGTTGCCGACTTTCTGATATGCCACGGATCAAGAATTAATCCTCAAGTAAAACTTGTGGAAAGACAGCTACAGAAACTATTGTTCATACTTGACAAGTGGGCAAGTTTGTTTATAAAATGTGTCATGTAAATAGTGATATTTTAAGTATGTAAACGAAAGGTTTTTTTTAGAGAATTTTACCTTAAATTTTAAAATCTAACTATTTCGACTTCACCGGACTGCAAACTAACGTGAAAACAACGAACTTGAGTTTCGTGCACTCACATAGCCTTTTGCAGTTATAAAAACCGTAAAACTATTACCAAACTCAAACTGACAATGGCACTCAATACTACAGCACTTTTTGACTTACGGCGCATTTGAGCTATCCACGACGCTTCCATTTGTCTTGTCATCGACCTCATGAGATTTCCCCTGGTCATCCGACGCCGCCACATTCGACTCCACATCCTCGATGGCTGCAGAGAAAACCATACTTGAGGGTGCTCTTCAAATCTTGGTTTTTTTAAATTGGTTTTATCACCAAATGATAACAACAATGACACAGCAATAAACTGGAACACCAGCACTCCGGCAAGATGCTCAAATGTTCTAAGCTCAGAAAGGATTTTTTAACAGGAGAGAGTAAACAAACTGCTTCATTCTTTTAATAATCATACTTACATCTTATTACTTTTCTTGCTTTTATTTAACAACATTTGGAATTTATAATAATAATAAATAATAAATTGCATCTATATAGCGCACTTCCACAAAGAAGTACCCAATGCGCTGTACAATAATACAAAGAACATATGAAGCGCACAGCTCATAATAGTAATCCTCTTTTCTCTCT